AATTTGCTCAGTGTTTCAGAATTCATTTTAATTACACAATCCCTGTTGAATCCCTTCTTAAAATTTTACAACATGCTTTTTAGAACAATTGGCTTACTCAGTCCCGACCCCATGATGATCAGTGGCCCTAGAGAGACAAGGGAGGGAGTGACCTGTTTTGACAGATCCTCACTCAGATGTCCGCCTGGCTGAGTCCCTTGGGAGCTTAGATTCGTCTTAGCTAAGGTGCACCCGTATAAACCCCAGGCCTGGTCACCTCTGAGTGGGGGTGAGTCACCGTCATGCCATATGACGAATCACAGAACTGCATGTTGGGACCCACTCGGACTCTGTAACCGAAGTCATGGAGCCACACTCACACACTTTTACCCATCATTCACTCAGAGTTTAAACAATCCACCCAATTCCTGACTAATTGCCTAAGGAAGCTGTATGGCTTCCAGGGACGTGAGCAAGCTCCTCCTTCCACTCACTTGGAGTGGGCTTGACTGACTGGGGCCTCTACCTTACCGATTCTGTCAACAGGTCCAGAAGTGTCTGTCCACTCTCTCTAGATGCTGACTGGGTCCTGGGCTGAGGTCCAGGAGCGGGCAGAGTCCCCAGTTTTAATTCTGTTTAGCTCAGCAGTGCGTGGCTCCCGGAGGCCTGTCCGGTGCCCCAGGGCCCCAAACGTGGTCCACTCACTGGAGTCCAAGAGGCCAAGCATTGGTTGGTTTTCTGGGTCAGGGAACCAATGATGTTACAAAAGACCGGAGAAGAACCAAGCAACGCTTAGAGAGATGGAGTTACACTTTATTCAGCGCGGTGGGCTTAGAGAAAATGAATTAAAATTCTAAGCAGAGCTACAAGCAGAACTTCCCTTATTATTAAAGATCCAGCCCTGTTGGAGAAACCAAGATGGCGGCATAGGTAAACACCGAAATTGCTGCCTCGCACAACCACTTCAAGAATACAACTAAAAGATGAAACGGCCATCATCCAGAACCACAGGAAGGCTGGCTGAGTGGAAATTCTACAACTAGAAGGAAAGAGAAAAACACAGTGAGACTCAGAGGAGCTGCGGAAGTAAAGTGCAGGGATACAGAGGCTCGTGCACGCGCGGAAAGGGGCTGGCAATGGAGGACGCCAGTGTCTTTTGAAATCAGGAGGGAGGCACAAGCTCCTGACTGCTCTGAACTCTAGTTCCCGGTGAATCTCTGGGGACCCAGACTCAGACGGGGAGAAACTGGACTGTCTGGAAGTGGGCAGAACTCGAGGGCAGCTATCTCTCAAAGGTGCTTGCAGCGATTACCAGGACACTGAGACCCGGGACACTGAGACCTAGTCCCGTCTCAGGCTTGCTCTTCCTTTCCCTCCTGATCTGTCTTCTTGCTTCCCTTTTTGGGCTGTCTTGGGGCAGGACTGAGGATCAGACA